GAGAATAGAAATTTAACTGCCCGTTCCTCTCCCTTCATCAGTGGTAGATAGAGTTGGAATTTAGCATATTGTTTTTTTTGGGGGGGGGAGGGGAGGGGGAGGAGGGAAACAGGAAAACCATTGTAGACTTGGAGCAGAGAAAAGTACTAATTTTATTTTAGTTGCATTTTATTTACTCGTATCAAAAAAAGAAGCCAGGTTATTGCTGGGAAAAAGATCAAGCTAGACTGTAGTTTGCCAATAATTCAAGTCTCCTAAACAATGACCTTGGGATGTAATAGAAAAAAATTTATTAAAATTTATTATCAGCAATACCTCACAGTAATGAGACAAGGCAACTACATTTTCATGCATATAAGCCTCTTAGCTTCTTCTGGGGTTCCTTGGAAGTTTACCATTCTTGTATTTACTGAAGTATTTATGTATTTCAACTTTGGTAAAATAAAGGAACTAAACTGCCATCTATTTCTATTTCCATATATTGTACCGCTGATTCACTGATTTTGACATGAATTAATTAAGAAAACAGCTTTTAGCAAAAACATTATTTGCAACAAAACAAGAGCGAGAGGTTTGAATTTTAAAACACCATATATCTGTGACTGGATTGCTATGCTATCAGGTAATAAATATCAACACTATAATGTCATTTATTATATAGACACGAGTGTTTTACTGGAAAATATACCACTTGTAAAATTCATAAAAACTACATCCGGGACCCGAGTGGTTTATTTTCCATAATCTCACACGCGAGTTTATCGATGACGTAATTTTGGTAATTTTCCTCCATTATTTTATCGATGTCATTTTGTCTATATAATAAAAAGAACATTACATGGCAGCTTGTAGATATGAATTTTATTTTCTCGTGGCAAAAACAATATTTTACTCACTTGCTGCGCTCGTTTGTAAAATAGTGTTTTGCCACTCGGAAATAAAATTCATATCTTGGCACCACCGTGTAATATCCTCTATATATATGGCTTTAATCTTGGCCACTTGTCATCATCTTCATGATTTAGGTCATGAGCATCTGTGAGCTCTGGATGTTTACTGTGCCCAACTGGATAGATAGTTGTCACAGACAAATACTCATCTATTGTTCTTTCAGTGCACCGGGCAACAAATCTTATGAAAGGCCTTACATCTCCATGATTGGCTATGTTCAAGAACTCGTAATAGTCATGCCGATCTTGATAGCGTATTATAACAGGAGGAAATCCTGCGCGCATTAAAATAGAATTCATGACAAGCCTTCCAGTTCTTCCATTGCCATCAGTGAAGGGATGAATGTAAACAAGTTTATAATGAGCCAGTGCTGCAAATTCAATCGGATGCAGCATTTCTGGTTCTCTGGATAACAGCCAATCATTAAACTCATTCATGTGATGTTCAACGTCTGCTGGACTCGGAGGAACATGGTCCGAGACGTAAACCTGAGTCGTTCTGTATCTCCCAGCTTCCAAGGGATGTGCATGTCCTAGAACCCGTCTATGAATTTCACGAATATCATCTACTGTAAGTTTCTCTTGTTTTTGCAATAAAGATCCATTGATAAATTTCATGGCCTCATCAAGTCCCAACACTTCATTGTGTTCTAAAATGCTTTTCCCAGAGATTGCCATTCTTGTTTCAACAACTGCTCTGGTCATTGACAAAGTCATAGTGTTGCCTTCAATGGCATTTGTGTGGTAAATGTGTTGATAATAGGCCTCGGTAACAGCTCTTTTCATGGCCAAGCTTCCTTTTGGGATGCGAAATAATTCATCCCTTTTGCTATCAATCTTATCAAGCATTTCTTGATCAAGTTGCCGCACTTTAGGTAATGTTCTTCCTCTGTTAGCTAATGCTCTGGAGTTGCCAGGACTCACTGCTAGAGCTCTGACATAAAGATGCTCGGCATGGATAATGTCTTCTTCCTCAATAAATTCCCCGTAGTGTAGTAAAATGTCTGGATGATGAGGAGATAAAGCTTCAGCTTGTTTAAACAGTCTCAAAGCTTTGTCTCTTTTTCCTTCATTTAACATTTCCAAAGCAACTTTAAGTGCCTGAAGGGCTTCTCCATGTAATGGAGCTGGAAAAAAAATACTCAGCTTAATAAATTTAATACTATTTATTGAGAACATGTTTTTAACACCACCTGCAGTGGACGGGACCGCCATTTCTACATGATAATCTTCACCATCCCTGACAGTTCTACAATCTTAGGTGAACGAAGAATGTGCTTTGCAGGTCACTGCTGGCGAGCAAAACAAGAACTCGCTAGCAATCTACCGCTCTGGTCACCCAGGGTGGAAAGAAAGTCACTTTTACAGCCTGCCATTCAGGCAAGCTGTAGCTAGCATGTACCAGCCCACAAGTCATTTCAAGTCGCCCCAAACCCTTTTTGATTAGCAGGATTTACTACAATCCTTCTGTAATTTGAATTTTCCCCCCAAAAAAACAGCACTTGCTCGTCGGGCAAGTTAAGAACAAAAATCACTAGCCCGATAGCAAAATCCACAAGCCCGGGCTATCAGACACGACTTTCTTTGCACGTTGTCACCTAACCATCGTGAAAGGTGGGTTGGTCGCCCTGCAATCACCTCATCAACCAACTCTGCAGAGACACAGGATGCCTTCCAAACGACCTCCCTGCTTTGTTGCAGGATCACCATGGATGGTGTGATAGGCTCATGAATGCCCGAGGCAGCTCGACCTGATGATGATGATGATGATGATGATGAATCTTCACCATAATTTTCTGCTCTCAACAGGTACAAACAGATAGGAACTCTTTCATGGTCCAATGTAAAATATGATTGGCAGCTTGGCAGTGTTAGTCACTTACCAAAATGTTTCCACTAATGACAAACCTGAGGCCCTGTTGGGGTAAATTTCTGTCAAGCTACATGGCAGTGACATAAGACAGATGAAATGATGACCACGACACAAAGATAGGTCGAAACTGCATCAGCTACCAGGACGATCATAAATACAATTTTAGTGAAATACCACCAGGGCCTCCTCCTTAATACGCAAAACGACAGGTTTTGAAATTCAGACTGGGGACAAATGTACCTTCCCTCCCCCCGTTAAGAGGTCCTCATACCTGACTGTGATCTTTTGATCTTTTTTTTGTTGTTAAATATTTTTACCATTAGCATACCATATTCAGCAAGCAACAAAAAAACGTGTTACTTTATTCAGTCTATCTTGTAGACTGCTAGAAAAAATACATTCATTTAAGCTTGTATCAAACTATGAGAACATCAACGGCACATAGTGATCAGTCACAAAATTAAAAAATGTGTCGTATAACAGAGTAGGATCAATCAACGTAGTCAGCAAAATATTGCCATTTCACGATAACGTCTTAATAATACAAAAAGTAGGATAACGCAAATGTCGCCTGTTAAGGCTTAGGATTGCTCTAAGCTTACGTAAGAGAGATCGAGGGACGAAGGAGTAAGATTCTAACTTTACAAAAAGAAGCTGACTGCTTTTAAATTAAGTGTAGGTGACATTTCGCCTACAAAATCGACCCAAATATATGGCAGCAAAAGAAAGGAACAAAACTTACGTTTCTCTTCCAAAGCTTTCTGCGGAGCTAAAACAAGATTGAAGCCGGGTGCGTATGATTCCAGGGAAGGTCGCCCAAACCATGGTGGCCATATCGAAGGAAGGTAGGTTGCGATTAACGCCACGGCGACACCAGTAAGACTTGCAAGGATTAATTGAACGACAGCAGTCATATTTTTCGATTTTATATGCCAATGTAACGACAATCGCAGCCTTTTACACAGATCACAATGTTGTGTCATTCCGTCCGCCATATTTGTTTTTGCTTTCCAAAGCAAATCCTGTCCCTTACTGTACGTGCTCGCATATGATTGGTCAATAACTGGGCATCTGACAAGGCGCGAAAAATTTTCAAAAGACAACCGAGCAGAAAAACACAAGAAGCTAAAAAAGCGTTTATTTGGGCAGAGAGTAAAACTTTATGAAAAATCCAGCTGCGAAGATGTGAGGGGAGAGGAAAGGAGGACTTTAGTGACGATCATCTTTAATTTATAACAGTCCCGGCTGCCATAACAAAGCTGTCTGTCAAGGCCCGGCTCAGATATCGCACTATCAGGAGCCCATCAAATGGAGCCTCCATCTCCATTAATTTCTTGAGTCAACCCTTTCCCGAGTAGATTTATAAATAGAACGGCTAGTTTCCCGCGAAAAGTGTCATATTTCCGTGAATCTCGTGTCACCGTGAAAAAATAAAATTGGATAAAGTCGAACTCAGAAGCCCATCCTTCGACCGTTTTCTTTTTTTCCTTTTCGTCCATTTTTACAATTTTACAGCCGCTGGGATCTGGGTATCATGAAATAAAAGTTAATGAATTACCTGACTGAGACTGAGCATGAAGCGATGGGACTAAGGCAGCGAACTGAGGATCACGGAAAGGTTATCTTTGCGAGTGTTTTTTTTTTTTTTGCTGTCATACATCCCACATTTAACCATGCACCTTGAAAAGAGTCGACGATTAAGCGTTCTGTGGACGATTTGGAATTTTTCGATGATCAGCGCCGAAAAAGTACCAGGATCATTTGATTTTTGTCATCACCGTGGAGTGGATTTCGCCAGTTAAGAACCGCGTACAAAAGCGATGACCTAAAGTAGCAACTAACGAGGAATGCTTCAGCTCCGAAATTTGAGGAATTGCAGTCTTCCTTTACAACTGACTTGTATCACCATGAGAGTTGCCTGATAAAACTGGCACTTGAAAAGTTGAACAGAAGACAACAGTTGCTCGACCGTGAACCTAACTCAAAAGTAATTTGCTGACGGAGGAATTTGTGACATCGCGCTCCAGTCCAAAGACCCACTAGTTATCTCAAGAAAAACAAAATGGATTGTATCTGCGCCAAAAGGATTATGACTATGATTATGACAATTCTCAGCAGTTAATGTAGAAGTTTGGGCTCAATTCCTTCCTTCGAATTCGCATCTGTAGATCACTTTT